ATTTAGTTGTCTAACTAAATAGTTTAGCTGTCTCTAAAAAAAATAAATAAATAAAAATAAAGAATGTTCATCTTCTAGCAGGCAATTACATTATGGAGTGATGACCTTTAACTTGTATTGTCTTAGTTGTTATACTTTGAGACTATGGACTTTTTATGTTTTGCTCTTATTCTTAGGGCAAAATCTTAGTATAACATTTACTTCTGTGGCATGGCTCTCTCCTTGAAGTTCAGTGAAAAGGTTAATATATTTATCAAGTTGTCCCCAACTTGATGAAATTCAAAACTTCAGCACAATCTTGCAGTAGACATGGGCTGACCTCTGTCTGGCCTGTCAGCCATCTTGCTTTTGCTTTTCACCAGATCTTTTTAATTTTCATTTTGCATTTGTAATTCTAGGTTCACCCTAGAATGTAAGGGGAGACAATGTACTGATTTGGACACATTACTCTTCCCTGGCTCCCTTTTTCACAAGGTTACCCCCTCAATTATTAGTCACATGGCAACTTTGAACTCCATCTTATGACTCCTCATAAAAATAAAATTGAGATTTTTAGCTTATGTACTAACTCCCTTGCACTACATGGGTTGAAGAGAACTCTAAGGGAAAAACAAGGCTTATAACTGTTGATTTCTTCTCCCTTCATTCAAGAAATAAGTCTTCCCTGCTTGTATATGTTTGGTTGTACCTTTAGTTAAAAAAAAAAAAAATAGAAAATACACTTCTCAGAGTTTACATATTTTGAAAATATTTGTCTAATTTCTGATTATTTATACCAGTTAAACCATTCCCATTATTATTTTTATTTTTTTATTTTTTCAGTTTTTGGCCAGGGCCAAGTTTGAACCCGCCACCTCTGGCATATGGGGCCAGCACCCTACTCTTTTGAGCCACAGGCGCTGGCCCCCCATTCCCATTATTTTATACCAGTTCCTGGATAATTATTTCTATCACAAAGCATTTATTCATTTACTTATGGACAGTTTTCCATTCAGTCATAATGGTAAAATTTGTTAGATTCTCCATGTTTTCTAGGGAGCCAACCACATACACCAGAGCTGGCAGGTTTGAATCCTGCCTGGGCCTACCGAACAACAAGGACAACTACAACCAAAAAAATAGCCGGGCGTTGTGGTGGGCACCAGCTACTTGGGAGGCGGAGGCAAGAGAATTCCTTAAGCCCAGGAGTTGGAGGTTGCTGTGAGCTATAATGCTACAGCACTCTACCCAGGGTGACAGCTTGAGGTTCTGTCTCAAAAAAAAAAAAAAAAAAAAAAGGCATTGACAAGAAAAACTTAAAGTATTAACTTTTCTGTAAATTGCCTTCTCTTTCTTAATTAGTCATTCAGACAGAATTAATTCCTTAACCTGAGGGAAACCTACCATCTAGCCCTTCTGAGATTTTCTAAAATAAATTGGAATAAGAAAGAAATCCAGGTACACCTAAAAGAATTCAACTAACTAAATATATACATCTATACATACACACATACGCACATACCCCTGCACATACCTGTGCAACTAGTCAGTTGAATATATATATTATATTTCTTTATCATATTTAGAAATAAGTCATTAATATTTTACTTAAAATTACGTATGCAATGTATTTCAAATGTATAATTTTTATGAGCACCCCAGATAGATAAAGAAACTTTGTTTTTTACTATCTCTCTATCGTTTATATAAAACTCATTGACTGACTATAATTACTGTATCTGGAAGACAAGTAAAATAGCTAAATAGCTATGTTTTCTTTCATTTTGTTCTATCATCTTTGATCAACAAGTAATAAATACTTTTCTTTCAAATGTCATAGAGAATTATTCTTTTTCTCTCTTTTCACGGTGATTATTTGCTTCACAATATTTAGGTGATTTATGGAACTTATAGGAAAATAAAAAATTGCATACATAGGATATAACCAAGTTCAGGCTGTGATAATCACAGTTATGCACTGAACAATACTATAGTAAATATAATAGAAAGCTTTCCTGAACTCTCCCATCATTTTTAAAGCACTGAGTCTTTACATGGATAATGAGTAAGCTTTACTATTAAAGCATTATACAAACATTTCTTCAAATTTTCTATGAAATAAAAATAATCTAACAAATCATATTCCCAGTCTCTTATGAAAATATGCTCCACTCAAGATGTGATTATAAAAAAATAGATTCATAGCAATTAAAATGAGCTCCCACACATATAAACAATAAGCGCAATTTAACCTACGAAAGGCTATTTATTCTAGAAGATTTATTTCTTTTTAATATCTACTGTTGTACTGAGAAGCTTTCTAATTGTTTCTTTAATTACCACTGAATATCTACCTTAACATCTTGTCTGATAACCTTATCTGCACAACTGTTATTCCTTCGTTGAGAAGTGATTTAGCGATAGTTAATCTCGTTTTCTGTTTCAATTTATTCTCTCCCTATTGTCTATTCAGTACTGGATGCGGCACTTGAAGTGAATCGAGCTCTACCTCATTTCCCTTTTGCTTTAATTAAATCATGTATTGGCATTTGGTGTAATTTATGGTTAATAATGTTAGATTTGTTCTATGCCTCGTGTTCATGTTGTTTCATCATTGCCTCTCAGTTTCATCATTGTTTTCGAAAGCTCCATTAATATTTAAACATTAACTTCAAAATTTTAAAAATATACATCCCTATAGCGGCCTAAAATTGGTGGTGTTCTTTTCTCTGCAGGTTTCTATGATAAGATTACTTTTACATAAAAGTCTCTGTAATTCTAAACATGTCATTGCACTTATAGACACAAAATTGTTCATTTACATAGGCATCAAAGGGAATGTCCTATAACAAATTTACATTGACTTAAAACTTGCTTTATAATATAGCTATAGTTTCTCTAATCATTTGCCTTTCTCATGCTTAGAGTACATAGTTGGTAGTAATAAGTGGAACAGCTGTAAACTTTCACAGTAAGAGGTACAAAAGAATCTTATGTGTCTAATTAATTTTTAGTCCAACAAATTAGTTTTGTTCTTCATTGCTCTCCAATGGGAGGAAGACACTGTATTTCATTATATTTTTTGTCTGCAAGAACAATGGAGCGTTACAGGTCACACACATCCCTTGTCTATGCTCTAATTAGTCCACCTGACAACATTGTTTCAAAAATACCAGGAATGTAAAATTTAGTAATACACCTTGGGTAACATAAATACTACACTCTACAAAATATGGTATTTTTATGGACTCTTTACAAAAATGAAGGACTGTTTTTTCCCTTTTTGTTCTATAAGATGTGTTTTCTTTTTAGTAATGCCTGCTGGTTAAAAAATTACCAGAGAGGTGTATGTCTCGTAATGAAAATCTAAGTAAGTTTACAGACAGTTTTGACCATGTTTACATATAAAATAATTAAGGGAAGACATATTGGGGAGAATGGACCTGTTTTACTACATTAGTGACACTGGTTTTTAAATATTGAATTTAGTATAAAAGATCTTTCAGGAATGGAATGTAAATATGTATAAGGAAATGTTAGTAGTCACAACAAACAAGCTTGTTGTGTTACCGGATTAAACATTTTTAAGTTTCTTTCTTATTTATAGACAAGTGTAATATAGGGCAGCAGAATGGGGAATGGAGTTCCTAGTCCATATATTTATTCAGGGACCCTGGAATCTTCACAACAACAGCTCTACCATTTCTGAAAACTCACTGTCTTTGAATAGATTCCCTGGTTCTGTCCAACACCTGAGGAATACTAAATATTATAGCAGCAGCGTTCATGGTCAAGCCTGGAGGGTAGTGTTTATCATTTGTACCTAACTACCATTGGCTAATACTCACTTTGCTGCACTTAACTGCAAAAGAGGCTGGGAAATGTAGGCTAATTTTCTGCCCTTGACGATAGGAGAAACCATGGTAAACAACGTACCTATAGCTCGTAGGTACCTCAATCTAAATCATTTACCACTTATGTCCAACTGGAAGACTCTTAAAAGCAACCCATAGACTTACATGGTTCATAATTTTTAGTCAAAACTATTGTGTTCATATTAGGCTCTTTCTAAAGGTCTCTCTAATCCTTCTAGAATATATATATATAGTATTCTCTACTATATATAGAAAGTAGAGAGTACTATTGCCAACTAACTGAAACACCAGCTCAGAAATTTATGAGCCCTACATAAGTTTACTACTTAGTGAGCTAGTTAGTAACAGAGTTGATTTCCAAATCCAAGACAAAGGCCATGCTGTTTCTAATGTATTATAGTGCTATGATAATAAGAAATAAAAATCTCATTCCTCTGATGTGATATGCAGAAATGTGTCATATATATTTTCTTTACAATTTGCCTTTTAAAAATCTTTGATTAGTCACTAACTAGGCATGATACTGCCATTAGAAATCATTTAATTCCAAGTGTCAAAATTTCCTAATCTGTTAAATAAGCATGGAAATATTTGTACTTCAGTCGGGTAACAGTTCTATGAATGTAAAACCTATTTAAAATATGGCTCAGGTGTTTTTTAATTGTTTCAGGTTCATTGAGGGTACAAAGAATTAGGTTACACTGTTTGCATTTGTTAGGTAAAGTCCCTCTTATAATTTTGTCCCAGCCCCCTAAAAGTATGCTATACACCTTAACCCCCCATCCACCTCTCTCCTCCCCTCTCCACACTCCTTCCTTCCTCCTCCCCCCATCTTGAATTGATTTGAGTTTTTCTCTTATGTGGGTATGTATTAGATCATCTACTGGCTTCATATTAGAATTGAGTACATTGAATTCTTGCTTCTCCATTCTTGTGATACTTCACTAAGAAGAATGTGTTCCAACTCCATCCAGGTTAATATAAAAGATGTAAAGTCTCCATCTTTTTTAATGGCTCAATAGTATTCCACGGTATACATATACCACCACTTGTTAACCCATTCCTGAAGCGGTGGGCATTTAGATTGTTTGCACATTTTGGTGATTATAAATTAAATTGTGATAAACAATCTAGTGCAAATGTCCTTATGGTAAAGGACATTTTTTCTTCTGGATAGATGCCTAGTAATGGGGTTGTCCTATCAAATGGGAGATCTAATTTGGGTTCTTTGAGGCTTTTCCATACTATATCCAAAAAGGTTGTATTACTTGCAGTCCCACCAACATTGTAAAAGTTAACAAATGGGACTTAATTAAGCTGAAAAACTTCTGCACAACTAAGGACACAACAATGAAAGCAAAAGATACCTTCAGAATGAGAAAAGATATTTGTAGGGTTTGAATCTGACAATGAGTTAGTAACTAAAATCTACAGAGAGCTCAAATTAATCAACAAAAAAGAGGAATCAATCCCATCTACCACTGGGCAAGAGATACGAACAGAACCATCTCTGATGAAGAAGTATCAATAGCTAAAAAACGTTTGAAAAACTGCTCATCTTCCCTGGTCATCAGATAAATGCAAATCAAAACCACCCTGAGATATCACTTAACGTCAGTGAGAAGACTTCACATCACAAAGTCTCAAAGCTGCAGATGCTGGTGTGGATGTGGAGTGAAGGGAACCCTTTTATACTATGGACTGAGATTTCTAAAAATTATCTTTAACTTCTAAATTTTCAAAACATGAACACTTCTAGAACAATATTAGTCCAAATTTAAATGTATGTCTCAATTATTAAGAACTTAAAACTAATTTTAAAGTTGTCTTTTATATTCAACTGTGAAGTGTATTTTCAAATTAGTTTCAAATACTTCAAGGGAATACATGAGTTTTATCTTTTAGTGATATTTTAATTATGCATGCTAATCTCTATGAGATGCTGTTTATGTAATTATCATTGCTTTATATAGGACTTCTAATGCCTTTTAGAAATTAAAGGATATTTGAGCAAAATAAGTTCTTAATAGAATATTAAGGACCATATTAAGTTACATATTCTTCTGAATCATAACTATGGTAGACCATCAATAGTTGACCACCTCTGTACATTGACCACCTCTTAAAATAGACCGACATACACCACATGTACATATCAGTACAGTAAGCCTAGTTCCTTATGTTGATCCCTTCACATGTTGACCAGTGTATTAGGGTCCCTTCATTAGTCAACTTACAGAGATTCTACTATTTTTGAATATAAATAATGCCTATAAATTAGCCAAAAGGAAATTTGAAAATGCTCTGTATTAAAAGATTTAGTTTCTTTTTCAAAAATGAGAACTCTATTAGGAAACACTTTAACTTACTCAAGAAAAGTTGCCATTATTTCAACTTCTAGTACTTTGTTTTAGTAATAGTTAAAAAGCAAAAAATCAAGAAGTGATTCTGAATCTGTCCACAGCAAACCAAAACACAGAAAAGTGAAGTTCTTAATCACATTCTCAAACTCATGACTCTTCTCTTCAAAATTATATAATATGCTTATCAATAATGTGCCAGGCTCAGAACAAAAAAAAAATGTTGTCTTCCTTCAAAGAAATTTTCTGTGCCTTCAGTACCTCATGTATGTATTCCTCTGTTTATTTTTGTCTTAATCTTTAGTAATACTATTGTTTCTTCCCTAGGGAGACGTAATGAAGTTGTCATTACTGAAAACAATAACAGCATAACTGAACAAATCACTGATGTTGTGAAGCAACCAGCCTTTATAGCTGGCATTGGTGGTGCCTGCTGGGTAATTCTGATGGGTTTTAGCATCTGGTTGTATTGGAGAAGAAAGAAGAGAAAGGGACTCAGTAATTATGCTGGTAAGAGACTGTTTCCAGCTAAGAGGAATAGAAAAGAAAAATGAATGTGTGATTTTGGCTTGTCTTAAAAACCTCCATAAAATGCTGTTATAAACAACATGCTTTGAAGCATTGCTCCTGACCACGTTGCTTCATAACTAAATCAATCTTTTTGCTTGTATGTCCAATGAAATACCAGACTACTGACTGATAAAATGTGTAACATTTTTTTCTTAATTAATTTTTTAAAACCACACACATTTACTCCTCACACTTACTTTGTATGCCATGAAGTCATTGTTTGAGAAGTGGAATTAAGTAAGAATATGACTAAAATGTGCAGAATAAAAGGAAACCTTTGATTATCTGGGTATAAAGGAGCACTCCCAGTTGTTCAAGAGACTGAATCAGGGGTATTGCTTGAGGCGGGACGTGGAGGTTGCAGTGAGCTATGCAGAGTGGGATTTAATAAGAAAGTAAGAGAGAGAACAAGAAGGAGAGAAGGAAAGGAGAGAAAGAGAAAGAGAGAGGGGGAAAGAAAGAAAAAAGAAGGAAGGAAGGAAGGAAGGAAGGAAGGAAGGAAGGAAGGAAGGAAGGAAGGAAGATTTGAAACATACACTCTTAGTATGTTAGGATGTAAATTACAATAGAACACCTTTCAGATGGAAATTATAAGCAAGCAAAAATTTCACCAGAATTTATAAGAATGATAAAGCCAAATATTTAATTTAAATGCAAATAAGCACCATTTTACCAGGACAAGAAAAAGAGAAGGAAGCAAAAGGGGAAGGAAGATAAGCAGAAGAATAAGGCCCTCCATGTCTACATGTTTGAACATGTATGAAACAATGTTCTAAGAATCTAAGGCAAAGTTTCGAGGGTGTTAGAAACTGTCACCTTCAAAATTTCTCCAAGGGAGGGGGAAAGGAGGAGAGAGCTATAGAGAGAGAAAGAGGGAAAAGGGGAGATAGACTGATAGAGTTAGCCATTGAGACACTGAACTCAGTACTGAAGCTATGTTCAATTAAAATTTAATTACAATTCATTTAAAGATTTTTCTCCAACAAGAACAATAAAAAGAAATTCTTATAATGTTTTACTTTGGAGAGCTTTTAAGGAATAATTTTAATTTAACATTATCCTACAAACACCTTAAAAATTTGGAGAAAATTATATTTTATCTTTGATTTCTAATATTAACTTTGGTAAGAAGTATAAATGTCTTAGTAACTGATTTTGACATTGCTTATTAATCTTCTTTGCTGTAGGTAGGCTTTTAAATCGCTGAGACTGTCTTGCACAAAATGCCAGGAAAACAACCACTTGATTGTCTGCCTTGCCCTTTGACAGCATTTCTAGACATATCATCATTTGGTTATAATGTTGGAGATAACATCTTTATCTAATGAAGATAACGTTTATTATTCCTCGGTAGAATGAGTTTCCAGGGCTTGAGAAAGTAGCATATCCATCAACACAGGGCTTGCATTCCGGTGATAGACCTTGTTCTACCGTTCTCCTCTTTCATTGGTTGCTGGCCACCTGCTTCTTTAGTCTGTGCCCTCTAAGTAGTACATCCTGTCACCAATGAGGGATGCTTCCCTGAAAGGGGTGCTCCGCAGTAACAGCTGAGTGTTAGAGCCTTAAACATTAATGATACTTTAATGCACCTTTGTCTCATGCAGTCCAGTCCTTTCCCTTCAGCACCCCTTTTTCTTAATCAATCGCCATGGTATATTGCATCTCTGGGACATGCTCATATAAATCATACAAAGCAAAAGGAGGAAATGCTTTGATTCAAGGACTGTTTTGTTTGCAACCATTGAATTTAGCAACAGTAATAAAAGATGAACTATGTGAGTCACTTCAGTGCAAAACTCTAATACATCCACGTTTAGAACATTCCCTGTCCGTCTGCCACACTTCCTCATTGCCTCCCTCCTTATCAACAAGATAGCTCTCACTTAGTAGGTTTGCACTTTTAGTAAAATTATATTAGATAGATGGTTTAATAGAAGTTCTTTGAAAAATCTATGCACTTAATTTGAAAGTATCTATCGGTCTTTGAGCTTGCCAAGAATAGTACATTTCCTATTATCATTCTCACTGTGATTGATACCCATCTGCTCGCAGAACTGCTAACTCAGAAGGTACTGTGCCCTTCAACTATTTTGGAGTAAGGCCAAGTCAGAGCCAGCCCTTTCAAAACTTTTATACTTAGTTGATAGATGGCTGCCTCTGAGGATAACAGCTTTTATGAAGCTCGGTAAATATAAACAATTTAATATGAGTGAGCAAGTTATGAAATGCTAAACACTTCACACTTAAGTATTAAAACTGTCAGTGCAGTATAAATTATTGAACAAAACTATCCAAAGGCAGCTAGAAGATTTGATGGAATTTTTATACTGTGATTATCTGGGCTGAGTTAATGGTTATTAAAAGAGGATTAATCTACATTCATATTTGAGAAATAGCTTATCAGGAAATGGAATGAGGCTTGGCTGAAACATGAAAGTTTCCATTTGGAGTAGGAAAATGTGACCCACCAGAGATAGGCGCTCTTAAAGCTTCCTCACCTCAAAATGTCAATTTACCGCGGAGTTATGTTTTCCTCCCCCGTCTCCTTCATTCTAGCAGGCACCAGATTAGGATTCATCCTGTCAGGTAATATTAGATGTACTTTGTGTGTGATAGATACAACCTTCAAAATCTCTCTACCTTATGTCTGTTATAAAAATTGCAATCAATTAAAAATATTTCCTATGATTTCAAAACATTTTAGACTGTAGGATCAATGGAACTTTTGGGAAACCTTGGCACTAGGTTTGAGCTATTAATAGTTTGAGCCATTAATAAAAATGTCTATATGTTACTTTTTGAAAGTACTTAATTTCAGATGCTAGGAGAGCCTCCTGATTAAGATTCATAGCTATTCCAAATTTATCTCTGATAAGCACAAAACTACTACACTGTTATTATCAAAGATGTGACAAGAACAAGATTGTCCAGCCACCCACTCCTGTTTCATCCAGCCTCAAGGCAAACTCACTGAAATGAGACTTACCTCAAAATAGCTCTAAATTTTCAGTGTATGTGCCCTTTACTACATGCACACACACAAATACACACACACAAAATGCTTATCAAAGCACCAGGTACAATTTCCACCTCAGGACATCTCATTGTTCCTGCCGATGTGTAGTGTGCCGTACCTCTCACGGTCTCATACAACTGAGTTCCTTTGGGTCTGCTTTCATAATGAAACACATGTCAAAGTTTTGGAGCACGGGGTCTAAAACAACACTTGGAAAAATGTTTCCCTTTTCCCCCTTGATTTAAAAACACAACTAACCAACCCTACTGTGAGAAAACATTTTTTTTTCATTTTTAATCTGACAGAAACATAACTAATGAAATATTCTCATGTATATGTATAGCACATTTTGTATGGAGCACTTTAAGTTAGATATTTACATAATATACTATAATTGTTCTCTTTGTATGCTTAGTATGCTAGGTATAGAGATGCTTGTCCTCCTGAAAGTTTTGACACCCGTTAGCAGTCTAGTACTTTTTGAAATCATATTTTAGAGATGATAGGGACACAAATAGAAAGTTGCTATGTCCTGAATGCTGAATTTGAAATACTTTGACATTTAAATTATTTTGTTCATAGCATTTAGTTCTCAGTTGCCATATAGGGACCTTACTTATCAGAGAGCTTACATGCTAATAGATCTGCAAATTATCATTAATGAATGATATTTTGGATAAAGTTTTGAGTATTATAATACTTTAAACTTTACGTGTTTCGAAGAATTTGCCATTGGTTAATATTTGAAAGTTCAGTATGACTCAATGTTTGTGCCTCTGTTTTAGTTACCTTTCTTCTCTTTAATATTATTTCTTACTCTGGTGGTAACAGAAAAATTGGGTGTGAAACAAAAATGAGTGTCTAAATTAAGTAGAGCTATTTAGATCTCACATAACTCCCAGCCAGCTCATTCTGAGGTGTAGACTGTGGGCCCTACCTCTCTGCATAGTCTCTGTAATATTCATAGCATTATCTTCACTCTCTTTTAACAGAGTCAAACAATCTGTCAATAGTCCTTTAGAAAACCACATACCTAAAATGTCCCATCAGATGGAAAACTTATTGGCTGTACTACTTTCACATTGTGGGTGTCCTCTAAACAGGTCTTTGCTTAAATCTCCAGTGCTAAATGTTTTGCAGATTAAATGTTTTGCTAATTAATTTTTTCAGATTAATTCTTTTTTGGTTAAAAACAGCTAAGGGGTACAATGCGGTACAGAGGCACTTCTGATTCCCAATTCCCACCACTTAAATGAACCTCGCTCCTCTGAGCACATGTCTAAAGCCAGTCCTGGGCAAATGCAAAGGTTATGTCAGGATTGTTTTATCGTCCATTTGAGATGTTACGTGTAAAATTGATAAAGTAGTATATTTCAGATACCAACAAGATGTTTTTGAAAGCCATGATGGATTTCACTGTCACATAAAGGCCCTTGGAGTTATGATCATGCTGATTAATTGTGGTGTCATAGGAGATAATATAGATGACCTGAAGGAAAGGACGGGTGAACTGCATTGGGAAATTTACAAAATTTAAAGAGTAATCATATTTAATAGAAAGAGATGAATTATGGAGAGTTACTAAAATTAAAAAGATTCACTGTCTGTATACTTTATGTGGCAAAATATCCTGTTTGCTTAAAATATAAATCAATTTATTAAAATTTTTATTTATTTTCACCTGTATTCACCAAGTCAAAAAAAAGTATATTTAATAATTGTCTTCTAAAAATAGAGTGTATTGGGTTCACAAGTGTGAAAAGGTATTATATTCTTTCTCTTTAGTAATGATTAAGCCAATCCCTATTAACTTGGGTCACAATTGCAAATTTATGGCAGTTTTACAATCCATACACTTCTAAACACCAAATTTCTTTTCCTAAATTTTCTACTTAAGTAATTCACTGTCAAAATTTGGTCCAAACTAGTGGGAAGTTACTTATAGACCTTATTTATCCCACTAATTATGGATATTCACATTCCACTGCTGAAAAATTAAATAACTATGAGAACAAGTTCCTGCTTCTGACTTTGTAGTATTTGAAATATATTACCTTGATCAGAACAGAATACATTTTGCTACAAAGGCTTTGGATAAGGGATGATGGACCTGAATGATATTCACATCCTTTCCCTATCCTTGAAAAGCACTTTCGTGTTAGATTTGTACAACAGAATTTTTTTTTTTTTTTTTTTGAGGTAGAATCTCACTCTGTCACCCTCGGTAGCATGTGTGGCATCATAACTCTCAGCAACTTCAAACTCTTGGTCTCAAGGGATCTTCTTACCTCAGCCTCTCAAGTAGTTGGGACTACAGGTGGCTGACACAATGCCCAGCATTTTTCTATTTTTAGTAGAGACAGGGAGTTCTCCTTTATTCAGGCTAGTCTGCAACTCATAAACTCAGGCAATCCACCTATCTTGGCCTCCCAGAGTGCTAGGATTCCAGACATGAGCCACTGCGCCTGGCCAGTACAAAGAAACTTTTGATTTGAGGAATGGAATTTACCAGCAATAGCTTTAATTGACGCTTGTTCGCTTGTTGGTATCCCCAATAAGTTCCATGTTTTATACAAAACTTCAACTTTATAATCACTAAGTCCAATTGGAATATATCAATATCAATTATTTGAAAATTTCATTTTGGCAAGAAGCATGCTGTTCTCTATTAATTATAGTTTGTGTCTAATATAATTGTAACCGTTCAACTCATAGTGGCTTATAAGGGACTCTAGAAGGATTTGGTGTGGTGAAAAATGAGTGATTTTGCCTTCTGCCTTCCAATTCAGATACCTTATGTTACAAGTAAAATCCTGATCTGGTGAATCTACATTAATGCTCTGTTGATATTCCAATATCACTATTTATACTAGTTGTAACAATGTTTGACATGTAAATATAAATTGCTGCTTTAACGGAACCACACATTTGACTGGAAGAATTTTGAAATATCCTATTAAAATTGTAGCAAATGATGGCTTTGCCTTGGGCCAAACCACTGCTTGCTACTCTCTGTACAATTACGTTAATTATATTTTGTTAAAATTCCCAGAGGCTTCAACTCTAAACTAAGGGCCAATGTGTAGTTATTAATTGTAATTAATATTGACTACTAGTGCATGTATGTCTTGTTTTTTACAGTTACATTTCAAAGAGGTGATGGAGGACTGATGAGCAATGGAAGGTATGCTAAATATGTTCTTTTTATTATTATTTTTTAATCAGGACTGGGGAACTCTATAGTAAGAGGCTATTATTGTAATAAACGATCACTTATAAGTCTAGAATTCTAGGAGGAATTAAATGGCTTACCACAAGGTTTAATGATCTATCTGTTGTGCACTTTAGAGGAATCAAGTCCAGATGTTTCATATCTCCCAGATGCCCCTGAAGAAATTAGCAGTAAATATCACAAGGAATGTGTTCATTTGTTAGCAGGATGTTTATTGCATTAATTAGACATTAGCAAATGAAGTTGCTGTTGTTTAAGACTCCTTATTGGCTCTCACTAAATTGCTGTGAGTGAACAATTACACATAATCGATCACAAAGTAAATGATTCATGGATGATGAATAGGCTGTAGATTGATAGGACTGGATTCCACAACTTGGGATACTCAATTGAAATTGATAAAAGCTGATAACAAACTCATATATCCTTATCTACTTTCCCTTTGCCGATATGGAGATTGTAATTAGACTCTGGTAATAACTTCCAATCTCCCATTTAATCAATATTTTAGCAAAAAGAGATTAAGTTTAATGAGAGCTAGTAGATGTAGCAAGAAAGCACTTGGAGCTTCTTATTGCAGTTTCCATAGAAACACATGTTTCTCTTAGGGATTGTGCCAGAAGGGGTCTATCAAACAGAAAAAGCACAATGATTATAGATGTTCTGTTTCTTTGTAAATATGCTAGTAATCTGGAAAGGAATCAGAATGCCATCTTTTATATTAAAGAAGGGAGTTCTTTATTAAATGTGATGTGAAGGAAGTTTTCTTCCTAGACTAAACTCACATGCTGGATCAGATCACAACTTTTATAAGCTTAAAACAGAAACCTTTACATCCCCGTGATATTTTACAACTTAGAGAACTTGGAAATGTGCTATGGATGGAGCATTATCTTTAATTTCTTTCAAGTTTCTTGCGTCTAAATCAAGCATAAGGGCTCCTAACAAGAGTTACATCCTAGGGGGATAGATACATATGGGACAGGCAGGAATTGGAGACGAAGTAGTTGAAAGTCCTGGCAATGGCTAACAGTGAGCAGTCACTGGGAGCAGTTATTCTCTCGAGGTGCTGATTTATCATCAAACCTTGTTTCAGGATCCTCCAGGGTTACTGATTCCCACCAGTTTCAGGGCATACACCTGAATTCATTTGAAAGTCAGCAGAATCCCAGCCAAGGACTCTGTTTCCATCATTGCGGCTGATCTACATATGGCCTTGATGAACCACTGAAATTCCTTTATTTTTAAGAGGCTACACATTTTAATTTGAAATCTATTCAAATCTTCTTAAGTTTGTTAACCGTTTTTAATACAGGGGACAGATGTCAAAATTTTGTGTTGAGCCCCATGTGTTGATTCCCATCTATTTTCCCTTTTAGCCGTCCAGGTCTTCTAAATGCCGGTGATCCCAGTTATCCATGGCTTGCGGATTCATGGCCTGCTACGAGCTTGCCAGTAAACAATAGCAATAGTGGCCCAAATGAGATTGGGAATTTTGGCCGTGGAGGTAAGTTGCATTTTTTAAATTAGTGCCATTTATGTTTTTTTTTAAATGGATTTCTTAGATTTTTTAAAAAGACATATTACAGAGTATTTTCTCTCATAATTAAAATGAATGAGGCAAAGCGCGGGTATTAACAGAGCTGTACATTTGCTAAATGTTTTAATATAAAACTATGTGTTTCTATTTCCTTCAGTAAAACCAAGATTTTAAGGATGTCATTGCTAACCTAGAAGATCAAGATGCATAACACATTTTGTTTTCAGGAATTTTAATAAAAGATTACTAAAATCAGAAGTTATGTTTCCAACTAAGGTTTTTGATTTTGAACTAGATGTGCTCACTTCTCTAAATCTCATTTGATATGTATTTTGTGAAAATTCCTGTGTACTTGGCATTATGGCAAACAATAAGAATGTGATACTGGCATGAAAGAAGATGGTTCTTATCCTCCTATACTATATCATGTAAAGAGTACATAGTCTAGTTAATATGATAATGTGTTGAGAGAGAACTTTTCTGTAACTCCATAATTATGGAATCTATAGCTTGATAATGAGTTTCCAAAATGAAAGTCAAAAAGGTTCTTAGTGGCTAACACATAAAAGCCTCTAATATTTGATGCCAGAGGCTAGGCACAGTGGTGCATGCCTGTAGTCCTAGCATTTTGGGAGGTCAAGGAGGGAGGATCACTTGAACTCAGGAGTTTGAGGACAGCCTGAGCAAGAGCAAGACCCTGTCTCTACTAAAACTAGAAAAATTAGTCAGGCATTGTACATTGTATTTCCAGGTACTCAGGAGGCTAAGAAAAGAAGGTTACTTGAGTGCAAGAATTTGAAGTTGCTCTGAGCTAGGGTGAACCCATGACACTCTAGCCTGGTCAATAGAATGAGACTGTCTCAAAAAATGATAATAATAATAATAATAATAATTGTTATTATTATATTAATCATTATGAAATGATAACAAATATCATATTATTTTTATAATGATTTATATAATTATTATATTATTAATATAATAATCATTATTATTATTTTGTGCCAAAGACCTCTTCATACATTTTTTTAATAAGAGCAGACCTACTGTACATAACTACCACCTCTTCTTGACTTGTCTTTTCATGCAGTTCATCAGAGAGAGCTGCCTTAAGGAAAGATGGCAGAAGAATATCTTTTGGCTTAGCAGGGGTATACGAGTTTGCCAGTAGTAGAAGATTGTGCAGATAGTGAATGGATATTAATTGACTTGCCACTTCCCTACAGGGGAGGGCTGCTGTTGGGAGTTAGAAAGTTCTATGAGAGGAATAGTAAGTTCGTACCTGAAGGAGAGATAGGAATTGATCAAATATATGAAAAAGCTGTATAGAAAATAAATTATCATATTTTAAGGTCCAGAAATGGGTAATGAACATATTATATTTTGGAAATGAATATATTTCCTAATGACTTAGCTATACAATGAAAGCCAGAAAAAAGGCAGAAAAAAAGAAGACATGCTAAACCAGAGCTTAGTCAGAAGTCACTGATAGAGAGTTAAAGAAGAGAAGGCTGGGATACAAGTGCTATTTTAAGTTGTCCAGGGTGGTAATGGGTGGAACATGAAATGATAGTTAAAAAAAAGATAGTTGAAAATTTTACTCTAATGAAGAAATCAAGTGGTTTTAAGACCTCAAGTCCTATGAAGTGATGTTTTCAGGAAATTCATTATTAAGGAATATACTACAATTAGATTCATTTTAACTTTCTGTTATTAAATAGGGTATTATTTAGTGATTTCCATTTTTAGATTCACTTAGTGTTTGTCTTCTGAAAAGGGACAGTAAGAGTTTCGGAGAGAGGTAGCAGTTGTGAATTATAAAGCATCGTGCAAATATAATTCAGCACACCAAAATGATAAATGGACTGATTGATATTCAGTGTTGTTCCTGAAGTTTAATTTTATTCTTGCAGTATTACAACATGAAACTATAATTCTCTAGTTATAAGAGTGGATAGCATAAATTAAACTCACCGATCATTGAGATTGCTTTATCTATAGTCAAATCTGGCTGTATTGTGAAAATGACTTATTCATGAAAATTTTCCTTTGTTATCCAAGAAAGAACACATTTATTACCATCAATTATTCTCCATTTCTGGAGCTATAAAATCTAAATCAGGCAAGTTAAAATTTCAGACAAATATACTTCATAGTCAGAGTAGTATAATTTTGAACATTTTTACATCTGTTCAGCAGTTGTATTCCGTATCTTTTGGGGTAAAGTAGAAAGAGAAGTTTTCATCCATGATTTGTAGATTCACTCTTATAATTCATTGCTTCTGTAAAGTTCTAACACTGTTGTTAGTTCTAAAACAGAGTGAACAACTGAAAGCATTTCTCAGTAGTTAAATGTCCCAAATTCATGGAGGAAGAAAATGGGGGAGGAGTGTGTTAAGCAGTGAGACGTGAAGGGCGAGCAGTGGGCCTGCCTGTCACTAAGGCTGATCGCTTGGCGATGGTTGTACATCATCTACCCTTCACTGCCTCATGAAGCCCCTCTCAGCTGAAATGCAAACGTGCAGCATGACATGCTTATTTTTCATCTTCAGTCCTGATAGTTTTTGGCTTCCAGAGCATCATTAAATTGTTTCATTTCCCTATGTTCACCACAGATGTGCTGCCACCGGTTCCAGGCCAAGGGGATAAAACAGCAACGATGCTCTCAGATGGAGCCATTTACAGCAGCATCGACTTCACTACCAAAACCACATACAACAGTTCCAGCCAAATAACACAGGCTACCCCATATGCCACGACACAAATCTTGCATTCCAATAGCATCCATGAATTGGCTGTCGATCTGCCGGATCCACAGTGGAAAAGCTCAATTCAGCAAAAAACAGATCTGATGGGATTTGGTTATTCTCTACCTGATCAGAACAAAGGGAACAATGGTGAGTCAGGTTCTTGTGTCCTGAGAGTTATTTTCATATCATGTGTGCATGAGATAGAAATTAGTATTTGTTGTTCGACTTAGTGATTCATTATCAGGTTTACTGCCTCAGCTCAGAAATGCACTGGCATGTATTCAGTAACGTGGATAATCCCCACCACCTCCACCACCGCCACCACCTCCACCACTGCCACCACCACCCCACCGCCACCACCCGCACACCACACAATTGCTTTCATTTTAACTCTTTTTCAACATAATGATCAGCAATCCATCTCTACTTCCATTAGGACAGGATAGACAAAACATTCCTTCACTCTCCCACGACATCTGCTTCTGAGTTGCTAACTGCATGTTCTGCATGGGCTTGTGCTGTGAACTAATCACATGATGCCACTATGACCTCTGCCCTTTAACCCTTAGCCTTACTTTACATCCCTGACTACCGATTGGCTGAGGGATTGTCTAATAGAATGCCACACAACCAGTCTCAGGATTTCAGCACCACCAGCTCTCACAACAGCTCAGAAAGGAGTGGCAGTCTCTCAGGTTGGTCTCATCACAGTAAGGAGAACTATTTGTTTGTCACCAGCGTATGACCTGTGTACCTAACAACCATGAAGAAATACTGAATCACGACTCACTGTTAGGCATTTATCTTTCAGGTGGTAAGGACAGTTTATGCTAATGAAGTCATGCTTTGATGGTGGGGAGGGAGTATAAAAATCATTGTTGCCATTTTTGTACTAAATGTACAAGGAATCTTTTAAAGAAAAATTGTCATGTTATTAAATACTATTCATTAAAGAGCAGATAAGTTTGATCTGCTTTGACTCTATTTAAAAGTAAAGAGAACTTTATAATAGGAAGATAATACCTGGAAGTCCATTCCATGTCATGGACACCAAATGATGAATTCAAATAAATTGAAAATGATTTTGGAGATTTTTTTTATGGTATTAGTATTACAGTGATATTATTTACTATTTTTTGATAGTCTTTATAAAATATCATGGAATAATATTATTTATTAAAATTATATACTACACTAAATAAGAAAGTTAATGTGAGAAATTATTACTATATAATTTCTAACAATCTCTTGATATTGATAATTCTTTCACCTTATAAACTCATATATATATTTGAGATGTAATGATCTACAGTGTGAGTATTACATAGTTCATGTAGGGACAAGAACATTTTATCTAAATAAAATATATATCTATTGTTATGAACACTAGTAATATTCTCCTGGCCCAAAGATCCTTGAGTAAAGTGGAGAGGTCGCAGAAGACACTGTAACATCCAAACATAACATTTACAGTGTATGGCCAATGTTTTTATCTGCATTGCTAATTTATTCCGTACTTGCATAATTTGTTTATATTAATTATATGCTATCTGTATGGATTTGGGGAGTTTTAAAAAAAATTACAGGTTATCACTAAAGGATTATTGCCTATCATGATCTGTCATAGGCTACTAGGCATCAAGACTCTGAAGAGTTAATTTTTTTACATCTTTAGAGTAACAGTTACTAAATTACTTTTCCTCAGGAGATACAACCCTCTCAGTCTAAAAATGTTAATGCTCTCTGTTCCCTTTCAAGCGAGTCATTTGCTCTCCTTGCCTATTGGTAGGATTCGATGCACTATAGAATCCGAAATATTTTAAGCATCTGTTATGAATTTAAACTGACTTAATAATATAGGGAAATTTTTTAAATGACCTTATGTGCCATTTACACTGTCATTTATTTATAATATGACCTACGATTGTCCTGAATAATTAAAAAGTAATTTATTCAGGGCTTTCTTTTTATTTCATCAAAGATCTCTAAAATCTCATGAACTATATAAAAAGAAATCTATATATTCTGAGCCATGAATTAAATAAGACCTTTTTATAATCTTTTATAACATATTCTGTATATTTTGATTGTCACCAAATTTCAAAAGTTATCTTTTGAGTAATTGTAAGCAGGAAATGATTCACAATAGTGCTTATTGCTTTTTTGAATCCATTAATCTCCTGAGTGACATATATATATATGTATATATATATATATGAATCCTATTACCTACTTCATCTACATTTGAATACAAAATTACTTAAATCGGTGATAGAAAGCATTCTTTAGTAAGTGAGAGTGAAGTGATTATTCTCCTCTTAGTTTAGTCCAATTGAATTTAACATTACAGAGCTTTATTTTATTCTTATAATCATAGGTATGTGTACTTCAGATTTATATTTCATATTAAACTGCCCTATAGAGAGCTAATCATATAGTACTATAAGATTTTCTTAATTTGTGCACAATGATGTAACCAATTTAAAATAATTACAGTTAGACATTTCCAAATTATGTAAGTAAATTTATTACTCTCTTTGAAATACTTTTATAATGCAGTTATAAGTTATTACTATTTCTGTTACAAATCCAGCCATTAAATACAAGAAAAATCAGATGTTTCAAAATAGTATTGCAGTCATACTTAGATATATATTAAAATGTTACATGTATAGCAATATTAGTAATACTAACTAAATCTTTTAATACACTATGTTTTTTAAAATAAGACATGTACGTTTAATTTTTAAATTAGTCATTTTCATAATTTTCTGTACATAAAAGGCATTCATTAGGCATAAATATAAAAATACTTACTTCATGGGGTTGAAGTGATAAGGGTCAAGTATACTTGCCAGTCATCAAAATTGTGCTCCCTTCCAACACATGTCCAGACTATTCTTGCCTTAAAATTACTACAGGTTCTTTGCCTGCAAGTAACAGCAAGAGACTGGCTCACTTTGCTCTACACCCAGATCTGAGGTAGAGAATTTAAGTGCCTGAGGTTCTGTTATGCACTCACCATCGTGTTAAGAGCCTATCAACTTAGCTTAATGTCAGGTGAAGGCAGATGTGTCAATTAATAAATAGTCCTTCCCAGACTGCCCACAAGGAAAGTTCAGAAATTTTGGCCCTAAAAGGGCAAATGAATGGTGGATGGAAATCCCTCATGGAGTCCCTCTGTGAATAAACTATTTCAAAAAAACATTTTAAAATCTGTTGTTTGGAAGAGTAGGTAATGAATGAATGGTTTCTTCTACATTAAAGACAACAATTACAGAATTAAATTCATGGAAGTTTATTATCCTTATTCTGAGAGTCAGGCTGTGTATGGGATATGCATTGGGCCTGGGGAGATTGGGAGTGGAAAGAGCCTTACAAAATAATGGACGCCAGGTTTTATCTAAGGTGGAGGAGTTGTAAAAGAGTAAAAATGCCTGGCCTTCATGGAGCATTGTGTACATTCTCAGCACTTCATACGCATTATCTTTTGCAGCCCTCAGAATAACTGACAGAAGTGGGAACTTTACAACTGTTTCACGTGTGTGGAAACAGAAGCAATATTTACTGAGTAACTTATCAAGTAGTGGGGAGCTAGTATTCAACCACAGAGATCAAGCTCTTATTCTCTACACAGAAAATATCTGCTCTTCTTCCTTTAACTCCCTTTCATTCTACCAAGTAAGAAATAAAAGGAATGGAGTGGTACCTGTGGCTCAAAGGAGGAGGGCGCTGGCCCCATATGCCGGAGGTGATGGGTTCAAACCCAGTCAAACCCAGCTCTGGACAAAAACTGCAAAAAAATAAAAAATTTAAAACATAAAAGGAATGGTGAAGGCAATTGGTTTGCAAGGATGCACTTTTAAATATATGTGTATGTGTGTATGCCACACCAAAATCATACACACTTTTATAACTGGTAATAGTGTGTATGTCTAGTGTAACAATTTTATCAATTTCTGGCACTCAAATTTGTTACTAATAAGGTATATGATATCCTGGTTGACTGATACAGGTTAGTAATTTTTAGAAAAGAAGATATGGATAGATTTCTAATTATATATATATGTATATATATTTAGAAAATATATATGTATTGTACATTCTCAGCACTTTATACGCATTATCTTTTGCAGCCCTCAAAATAACTGAAAGAAGTAATAACTTTGCAACTGTTTCACATAGGTAGAATATATATATACATATATATATGTATCTATATGTCTTTATATCCTTCTCTATAACAAATGTCTTATGCTCTCAACTTTTAGTTCCAGAAAGCTAAGTCCAAGGGGATCAATAACATTCTTTGTAAGTGTAGTTAGGGGCTTCAATGGAGTGACAGAATTTAGGTTCCCCTAAAATGTTCTTCATTATTCTGCTCAAAAAGCACTCATTTCTTCATCAAAGTATTGTCCATTTTTGAGGAAGAAGCCTTAGATATTTAATGTTAAAAAAGCAAAAGTAAAGCCCTGTTCAAATGATAGATTTTATTGTTTTATTTCATTAAGCTTCATGTATGGTTTCCATTAAGCTTCGCAGACATGGATCATATGTTTCAGACTTACTTTTTGCTTATGCTTCACACATAAATTCATTTGTATCACAATAGTACCGAAAGTAATTACTGTCTTTCCACATTAATGCTTTCCCCTTTTTGGAATCTTATGCAATGTTATGTTAAAGCAGCTGAGAACTGTTCTCACTATATGCAAAAATAATTGTAGCATTCATTAGTTAGAAAATCTATGAAATATATCCTTGTGAAAGATTTACATATATTCTCCAGATTGTAGTTGATTGATTTTTATCAGTTACTTCTGAGAGGAAAATGTTACTCTCCTGGATTAATTAAATTGAGTAAATTCTAATGAAAAAGTTTAGCCTGTATCCTTAGACACTGCATTTTCCGCTGAGAGAGATTATGCAAAAGAGCATTATAAACGCACTAAAATCTGACATTTAAAAGAATGTGTTATGGGCCATTATTTCTTCTAACAATGAAAACGTAGAGGCAGCAGACATGAATAAATCAATAAATGTGCTTTTGACATAGCAGCCATGTTTTGGGTTAATTCAGCTCTCTAGTTAACGCATTAGGAAAGAAACAATATTATTTTGAGTGATTTATAAAAATGTTTTTCTGATGGTATCCTTTCATTGTTTATAGCTTCTAACAATTGTAACATACCGATTCTAGTGTTATGAAATGTAAATACATCTTTTTTTTCTATATCATTGTGTCTTCTGCTATCCAGCATCTTTGAATAAATGCCTTATTACTTTCAGGTGGGAAAGGTGGAAAAAAGAAGAAAAATAAAAACTCTTCTAAACCACAGAAAAACAGTGGATCGACCTGGGCCAACGTCCCTCTCCCTCCTCCCCCTGTCCAGCCCCTGCCTGGGACAGAGCTGGAACACTACGCAGTGGAACAGCAAGAAAATGGGTAAAAATATTGTGTATACCGGCAAAATGGCCAGGGCTCTGCTATCTTCTCTATTGTTCACTTTTGCCATTACCTTGTGTTCTTTTATTGTTTTCCCTGCCCCCTGCCACTCCGTTCATTGCATTTTCCCCCTTTCATTGTTTGCACTGTCTATATATTTTTAGCTGATAGATACAAAACAACACACATTGAGGACTGAGAATCCTTGGCCTTCAAGTGCCTTAGATTGTCTGCAATCATGATAATGCAGCCTCCATTTATAATATTGCTTGTTAGTTTGAAAGCAAGTACCCACGGCTCTGTGAACTAAAGAGCCACTCCTGAGAGGGGCTGAAAAGGGAATTAAAATAACCTTCTTCAGCATCCTGCACATTTCTCTAATGACTTGATGTCTGGCCATAGCAGGGCGCCGCTGTAGAGCGCCATCACAATGGGATAATTGTAGGGACCTGGCCAGTGGGTAGAACTTTAATCATCAGCTCTGATGGGAATTTAGGGGCCAGAACAATAAAAGAGGTTCAAGCCAATGCACACTCTGTTACAAAACCTTTTTAAGTTAGAAAATTTCCTTTGAGGGCCGTTAAATATGACCGGTTTCCTTATTCTTTCCTAAACATCTCTCAAGAGTTAGTTTGTTTGCCTCCGTTTAAGCACTGAGTGATTTTAAAGAGAACAACACTGATACTTTTTATTCCCTAATTCCACAAAAAAGCAGGTCAAAAAAATCATGCTTCATCTTTTTTTCTATTTTAATAACTGAAATGCCTGGCCTTCCTTATACTTCCCAGACCCCTGTTTATTTTCACTGAGTCTTTGCATAACTTAAAAATAGAGAAGAAGGCGGTTTCTCTTTTCATACATTTTTCTTTACCCAGAAATATTTAGATATTAAAACATTTTCACTTATTTCAATTAAAGTTGTATTTACTGTCTTTTGAAATAAAGATCATATCTATGCTGATATATTTTTTCAAGATTTCTTTTTAATAATTGCTGCCTTTGGGATTTTCAGATTTTTTTTTACTGTAAGTTTCCAGGTCATAACATTTCCTTTTTTCATAGACGTCATTTGCCTTTTCTTCTTGTTATATAATATATATACACAAACGTGCACACATAGACGTACTGTACGTGTGTATACATACGTGTCTATAGACATAACACACGGACACAATATTTTTTCTCTCTGTTTAAAGAACTCTCTTTCCTCTCACTCCAAAGAACTTCATTTTTATTGTAGTGCTCATACTTATAAATATCATTTTACTTTTTAAAAAAAGTTCACATCTGAAATGAGAAATGCATATGCTTTGTCTTCTTTCTGTGACTTTAAAAAAAGCCATACATGATCTCAATTTATATTAATGACATAAATGTGTCAGTATCACATGAACCCTAAGTGAAGAAAAACTGGAGATGTGCATCTCACAAGAAAAGATTATTATTAGCCTTAGAGATCTGTATTTTAAAGCCCACAGTGAGAAAATTGGGAAACAGAACTTGTAAAATGGGCAGAAGAAGTAGTGCTGTGAAAGCTCCATAAGCCTGAAGTATTGAACTCAGATCACATGACAATTAGGGCTAATTTGGAGTCCTTTCTTCTTTTCCCATTGAGTCTACTTAAAAAATACATAGACTGTAATAATGCCTATTACCCATTGAAATATTAATAAAAATAATTCAATGAACATAAATACTCAACTTCTCACTTGATTTTGTTACCCAGTAGTCGAATTGGTAATTTTCACTTGAATGAAATAATACATGTTGGTGCATAGCTTTATTTTTTGACATATTTTCCAAATATTAGATATAAAACAAATTATTTCTACATATTTTAGAATTTCTTTTGTAATATCCAGCTCAAATGCATGATATTAGAAATCCTTTTTAAAAAAATTCTAAAAAATCCATTTCATAGATTGGATAGGTAAAAAATACACATTTTTACTATATACATATATATTTGCGTATATGTATATTGTTCAAGGTTTTTGTGGCATGGAGTCAATTCTTATTTACCATAGAGCACCTATTTGCCTTGTGGTCCTAGTATGTGCTGAAAATACTATCATTTTTACCAAAATTAGTGGGTAGGTCTAAACAGTAATGCAACAATATTTAATTTTCTTATTTATTGAGCTCAATTTTCTAAGAGCTGATACTTGAAAATTATCATTTCAACTGTACATAATAAAAAATGTACTTAAAGTCCATATGACAGGAGCTACTAAAAAATAATAGATTGAGGTGATTTGGTCCATTTCTTGACATATTTTGAATAGTTTTGTGTTTCCTAATTTGGAAACCTTAAGATACCAAAAAGGAAAGATGACTGAGTAGAGATTCTACTCTCTGATTCACAATATTAACATTAAGTATTTTACGGAAAATTTTTCTAAAGAATTTGTATATTCTTTAATTTGAAAACTTCATAATTCAGACCTTAGATTTTCTAGATACACAAGATTAAAAACTTCAGAATTTATTTTTTGTTGTTAATAGTTCTTTAAATTTTTAATCATCAAAGATTCTGCAGTTGTATTGTTTGGGGTACTATACTGTTTTTATTGTTGTTTTAAACATAGGATAATAAAGAGCTTATTCAATTACAGTATTTTCCAAGTACTTAGGAAGTTCTAAGCCCAGTGTGAGGAAGGGAAGAAGAAGCAGGGACTAATGAGACAAATACTCACTTATTCCTGACCCAGGGAGCTTCCAAAAGAGGCAGAGAGAGACCAGACACCAGGTCTACCTCCCCTCCTGACACACATACACACACAGAGTTTTGTATGAGGAATCATAGCTAACCTTGCCTACTGCAAGGAAAATCATGTATGGGGGGTAAGCCTGGGGAAAGCTTACATGTGTAGGAAGTTGAGTTTATATTTTTATTTATTTGTATTAGTATTTAATGTTTTTCTCTTAGAAGTTGTAATTCAAAGAAGTTGAGTTTTTAGGTGACTATTGAATTGTTTATTTACAAATAATAGTGCCCAGATTTGAGTGGTTGTTGAAGGCTAGGCACGGAGCCAAAAAGGACAAACGTTACTAAGAAATCGTCTTTAACTTGCATTGATGTATGTATTAGAATAGTAACGTTTGTCCAACAACTATGCAAAAATGTAATTATTGTCACCATTTGCTATTCAAACAGAGAACAATTTCCCTGACAAAAGACAAAAATCAAAAATAGAGATTAACAAATAGATCTATTAGTTTTCCTTTTGAAACCCCACACTATTTTAGTTGAAGTTGTTTTTCCTTTATGTTTCACAATTCTTTAACTTTAACCCTCTATTGCCACGCTCATATTGCATTTTGCTGTTCTACATCCTTAGTGATTTGTAACTGCTGCATAAGGTTTGTTGAGTTTGAAACCCGTATGTAGTAGGAGATCACCAGAGATGGTGTCTGTATTTTCTGTTTGTTTTAACAATGTTTAAGGGTGTTTCTAAGAGATTAGATATCACCCGTTTTCTTTCTATGTTTTTCTTGTAACCCAATACTAAATATCAAGTCATAAAATCATTGTCAAAATTTAAAAAAAAAATAACTGTTAATTCAACAAAATAAGCAACGATGACAAATGTTTTCTCTCATCAATATGCCTCTCTCAGCTTGACAAAATGAGTCAAAATGTTTTAGTTCCTACTATAAATATAGTGCATTTTATTATTTTTTGATTTTTTAAATTTCACTATATTATGGGTGTGCAAATGTTTTTAGTTACATTGATCCATTTTGTAATGCTTGAGTCAATGCTGTAAGTGCTGTAAGGGTCCTCGTAACTCAGATAGTATTCGATGTACCTTGTAGGCAGCTTTTTGCCCAGCCTTCCCACCCCCCTAACCTCCTGCTTGATTTCCACTGAGTTTTCCTTCCCTCTGTGCACATGTGTGTTCATCGGTTAGTTCTAATTGAATAGTGACTTCATATGGTGTTTGTTTATTCATTCTTTAAATATGTCCCTTAAATAATGATCTTCGTTTCCATCCAAATTATTCCAAAAGACATTAATTTATCCTTTTTGTGACTGTGTAGTACTACATGGTACACATATACCACATTTTGTACTCCATTCATGAATGTATAGGCTCTTGGGTTGATTCCACATCATTGCAGGTGTGAATTGTGCTGCAATAAACATTCAAATGCACGTGTATGTTTGATAAAATGTCTTCTTTTCCTTTGGGTAGATACCCAGTAGGGGGATTGCTGAATCCAATGGTAGGTTCTTCTAGTTCTCTGAGGAATCTCCATCCTCTTTTCCACAGAGGTTGTACTGCTTTGCAGTCCTACAAACTGTGTATGACTTGTTCTGCTCTCTCTGCATCCATGCCAGCATCTGTAGTTTTTAGACTTTATAATAAAAGCCATTCTAACTGTAGAAAGGTGATTTCTCTTTGTAGTTTTAATTTGCTTTTCCCTGATGATTAGTGATGTCAGGAATTTTTTCATGTTTACTGGCCACTTGTCTGTTTTTTTTTTTTTTTTTTTTTGAAAGCATCTGTGCATGTCTTTTTCCCATTTTTTGAGGTTTTTTTGTTTCTTGCTGATTTTCTCGAATTCTTTGTAGAAAGTGGTTATTAGCCCTTTATCAGTTGTAACTTCCACATGTTTTCTCCCATTCCATAGGTTGTCTATTTGCTCCATTGATTATTTTCTTGGCTATGTTGAAACTTTTTAATTTAATCAGGTTCAATTTATTCACTTTTGTCATTGCTGTAATTGCCATTGGGATATTCATCATAAATTCTTTGCCTAGGATAACACCTGGAAGAGTTTTTTCTACATTTATTTATTTCTGGAATTCTTATGGCTTTATACATTACTTTTAAGTCTTTTATCCACTTGAATTAATTTTTGTTAATAGTAAGAGAACTAAACAAAAAATATAAAGGAACAATAAAACAAAAAGTTGGTTGGTTCCTTGAAAAGATAAACCAAATAGGATAGACCTCTTACTAGGAATAGGAGAGAAAGGACTCAAATAAACT